CCAATAGTCTGTTGGCTTTTTTTGCAACCAGAGCACACTCTTGGCTCATATTCAGTTTATGGTTTACTGCAATCCCCAGGTGCTTCTCTGCAGTGCTGCAACCCAGCCAGTCATTCCCCAGTCTGCATTTGTGCATGCAGTTATTCCATCCCAAGCGCAGGACGGTGGACTTGTCCTTATTGAATCTCATCTGATTGATTGCAGACCATTTCTCCAGTCTGTCCAGGTCATTCTGGATCCTCGTCCTGCCCTCCAGAGGGTCCACAACTCTGGCTACCTAAGTGTCAACCTCAAATTTGCCAAGCGCACACTTAATTTTATCTTCCAAATCAATGATGAAGATGTTAAACAGTACAAGACGGAACAGACCCCTGGGGAGCCCCACACGATACCTCCTCCCAACTGGACATGGAGCCATTGAGCGCAGTGGCTCCTCATTAAGCCCAGTGATCCAACCAGTTATGTGTCCACCTTACAATACACCTCTACTTCCTTAGCTTGTTCATGAGAGACAGTGTCAAAAGCTTTGCTGAAGCCAAGGTCTGTCAGAGCCACTGGTCTCCCCCAGGCCACATGAGCCAATCCACAGCCTTGTCATAGGGGGAACTTGTTTTTGGTGAATCGATCCTGGCTGTTCACGATCACCCTGTTCTTCTGTAGGTGCTTCACACTAGATTCCTTGAGGACCTACTTCATGCTTTTCCCAGGTATCAAGGTCAGGCTGACTCATCTGTTATTCCCCGGAGTCTCCTTCTTCCCTTTCTTATTAGGTGGGCACTATATTTGCCCTTTTCCAGTTTCATCAGTGCCAATGGCATCTTCTTCTACCTTTGTTGACTAGACTGAAAGAACCATTAGGGTTTGGTTTTGTTACCTATTTAAGTCACCCTTTAATCTTTTCTTCTTTTTTTTTTTTTGAAAAGCTTAAATAGGTTGAGCTTCTGTATCTCTCACTTCAGTCATTCATGCAAGTCTCTTCTGAATGTTTTCCAATTTATCACTATCTTCTTTAAATTGTGGACACCAAAACTGAGCATCATATTCCTGTCATGGTTCCAGTAGAGGAAACACAACTTCCCTAATCCTACTCAAGAATCCTGCTGATGTGTCTAAAGATCATGTTCCCCTTACAGCTCCATTGTTGAAAAGTAGGTAAATGTAGGAACATAGGACTAAAGGGGTTTCCAGAGCCATTAAGTCCAGTCCCCTTGATTTGTAGTCAACCACTAAATGAAGGAATCCCCATAATTACTGCTTCAAACCCTCACCCACAGCCACAAGAACCAATATCCCAAACCCCAAGAATACCCTTCAACACGCCGTAAATAAAAGCAGGGAAGATGCCGGCACCACAGATGCCCTGGCACTGCAGTGACAGGGAAGTAGCTAACAGGCACTCAGAAAAATGCTAGATCACTGGAAAGTATTGTTTGTGATGGTTTCACTTGATGGGTTACATTGATGCTAGCAGCCGTGTCTTTTAAATCATAAGAAAAAGTAGTGTCTGCCTTCAAAAAGAAAAGTAAAATTGCATACAATGGGGAATTTTGCAAACATAAAAATTACTTGAGAGTGACCTTCTAAAAGCAACTGAAATGTTATCTACAGGGTAAACATGACTCATTGCTGATTAGCAGATAAAACAGAATGATGTGCTCTGCCCACGCATGGTGTCAGTGAAGGGAAGCCACTGCAGCCAGTGGTATTGCTCATTACCATGTGAGTTCTCCGCTCTGCGCAGCCAGGGTCCTCTTGTCTCAAGAGAAGAAGAAAAATTAACTGAGGACTTAATTTTTGGAGCATTCCAGTCCTGTCAGACCCCCAGTCTTGAAACGATGTGTGCATTTATTGAAGGAGTTGTAGGTGGGTGTAAATCCCCAGTTATGAAAAATGTAATTCAGCTCTGCTTAATGGTTGCTGAGGTTTAGAACTGTTCCACGTCAGGTCCTCTCTCTAAACCCAAAGTCTTTGCAGAGCCAGTTCCTTATAGTCTTGAATCATTCTCCTGCCCAGCCTATCAGTCCTGTTTCTGCATTTGGGAGGCATCCCTAAATGGTCTGAGCAAGTGATGTGTTTGGTTTTATGAGCATGCACCAAAATTTGGCAGATTATTTCCTCTGCTGCATATTTCAACATGACCTTTGTCTCATGGCCTTGTTTTTTATGGCTGTAGTAGGTGTAAGGCAGCCATAGACTAAGCACTACATAGGCAGTGAGCAACTCTACCCACCAAACACCACAAAAGTGAGTGCATCTGAATCTTGTTTGGGGCTCACGCCTGGTTAAAAGCAGGGCTCTTCATGTTCCAGATTCTGCAGATGCAGAATCCACTTCTCTCTACAGACTTGCACCCTAGGATTGCAGGGGGAAGGGTTGTCCTCTCAGTGCTTCTAGCCTTTATGTTTGGGAAGACAACCACAAAAACAGAAGCCAAATGTAAAAGAATACAGTGATGTCTTCCTGGGTCTTCAGGAAACCTAAATCAATAGCTCTCGCTTTTAGTTACTATCCCGTTCATCTCAAAATAGAGGGTTAACTCTGAAATCTAAATACAGCTATCTATGGCTCATCGGTAAATAGCTCACTTGCGGTGATTGTAGCAGAAACATCCAACTAATATGCTTATCCCCAAATTCCAAACACCCTCCCTCTACCCAGCTGTGCTACCCTACAGCCTCCATACACGGCCATCCTCAGCACAGATATGATCGCCGGTACAAATGCCGGTGCCACATCGAAACCTAAAAATGGGTATTGTGTAAATTAAATTAGGTTCAATATCAGAATAAACATCCCACAGGTTGCCTTACAGATTTCCTTGTCCACTTTCATATTTAATTCACGTAGTGCCATCACTTTCAATTTTAAAGAAGGTGCTACAAAGAGAGCTACAAAGTTCAAGAGCCTTGCTGCAGAACCTAGTCCCAGCAGGTTGTGTAAGCTGATTATAAGGGCAAACCCTGGTGGAAAAACAGTACCGAAGCATCTGGAAAAGGAGCCAGTGACAGAAAGACCCTTC